AGTCCCCAGTATAGGCTTATAACTGGCTGTTCCCAGTCCCCAGTATAGGTTATAAGTGGCTGTTCCCAGTCCCCAGTATAGGCTTATAAGTGGCTGTTCCCAGTCCCCAGTATAGGCTTATAACTGGCTGTTCCCAGTCCCCAGTATAGGCTTATAACTGACTGTTCCCAGTCCCCAGTATAGGCTTATAAGTGGCTGTTTCCAGTCCCCAGTATATGCTCATAACTGACTGTTCCCAGTACCCAGTATAGGCTTATAAGTGGCCGTTTCCAGTCCCCAGTATATGCTTATAACTGGTAGTTTCCAGTCCCCAGTATAGGCTTATAACTGGTGGTTTCCAGTCCTCAGTATAGGCTTATAACTGGTAGTTTCCAGTCCCCAGTATAGGCTTATAACTGGTGGTTTCCAGTCCCCAGTATAGGCTTATAACTGTCTGTTCCCAGTCCCCAGTATATGCTCATAACTGACTGTTCCCAGTACCCAGTATATGCTTATAACTGACTGTTTCCAGTCCCCAGTATAGGCTTATAACTGACTGTTCCCAGTACCCAGTATAGGCTTATAACTGGCTGTTCCCAGTCCCCAGTATAGGCTTATAACTGGCTGTTCCCAGTCCCCAGTATAGGCTTATAAGTGGCTGTTTCCAGTCCCCAGTATAGGCTTATAAGTGGCTGTTTCCAGTCCCCAGTATAGGCTTATAACTGGCTGTTTCCAGTCCCCAGTATAGGCTTATAACTGGCTGTTTCCAATCCCACAGTATAGGCTTATAACTCTTGTTCCTATCTGATGATTGGTTCCATCTGCAGCTGGGGCATTGTTCAAATGTGATTAGTTTAAAAAGTTTCATTAGTGTCTTTTTTTTTATAGAATCCCAAGTTACTGAAGGAGGTGAGAATTTCAGTGTTGGTCAAAGACAACTATTTTGTTTAGCGAGAGCATTTTTACGAAAAGCTAGGATTCTAGTTATGGACGAAGCTACGGCATCTATTGATATGCAAACAGTAAGTAACAAATTTGATTTCAAAATGAAATTTGTGATGTTTTCTTAGATTCCCATTTTAAAACGCACTTCAATCAGAAATAGTCAAAATAATGTGACACTCAATACAATTCTACAATTATATGTATTTTCCTATGCCATTATAATCAAAGTCTGGCAAAAAAAAAAAAAAGGTACTTCATTTTTTGTGTGTACTAATGAAGATAAATGCTTTTCCTTTCAAGGATGCCATCTTACAAGAAGTTGTTTCCACAGCATTTGGGGATAAAACAGTTCTCACAATAGCTGTAAGTATGGGTATTTATATCATAATTCTCGTGAATTTTTCTGACCATATTTCCATTAGAGATGCATAAAAGCAAAATATGTAATTTGTTATTGCCAATCTTTAAATGTGGCTTTTCAATGAGAGTATTTAATGTAGCCATAGTGACAGTGTCTGATTGCCAACCATCAGGAATATGTAACATAATGCTTGTACTATAGATTTTATATTAAGCACATGTACTCGTAATAGAACTATTATGGTACAGGTAGTGAATTATTGTCATCTTTCATTTCTATAGCATCGTGTCTCCACCATCCTCAACTCTGACTCAATCCTGGTACTTAGTGATGGTAAAGTTGCTGAATACGACACACCACAGAATCTACTCAGGAAAGAAAGCAGTATGTTTTCATCACTTGTCAAAGGCTCCGAAGGTTGATGTAGTCTTTATTACAAATATCAATACTAAGTAATTACATTTCAATTTTATCTCATTATAAATGAATGAACATGTAATTGAATAAAACATTATTGTATAATTTTTTTCTTTACATAAATTTCCTTCGGTTGAAATTTTAAATAGATGTTTTTCAAGACTGACACTGTTTTTGGCATCCATGGAGGCTATCAGCAAATGATGTGTCAAGATATAGATTGCTCTTATTAAATGTGGTGTAATTGACTCCCATGTGCAAAGCACAAAATGGGAGTCTTTGCAGTTAGTGTGTCTGTATGTGTGTGTGTGTGTGTGTGTATGTGTGTCCGACTGTTCCACTGCTATCTCAAGAACCATACATCGGTTTTTTATGAAACTTGGTGCATAGATGCTCTGGGCCAATGCGCAGATTTGCTTAGGTTTTGGTAAAAATCCATGCTCGTTAATTACCTAATTTGCATGATAATTAGCTAA